TCTCCCCCTTAATTTTGGGTGAGGGGCATTTTGTCTCAGCAACAAGAAAAGTAGCTAGCATAATAAATAAATGGGATTACATCAAACTAAAAAAAGCTTCTGCACAAAAAAAGGAAGCAATCAACAAAATGAAATGGTAGCCTATAAATTGGGAGTGATATTTGAAAACTAAATTTTGATAGAGATTAATAATCAAAATTTATGAAGAACTCATATAACTCAATAGCGAAGAAACAGCCTGATTTTAAAATGGGTAAGATATCCAAATAGACATTTCTTTAAAGAAATCGATATAAGGTATATGAAAAGGTACTCAACATCATTAATCATCATGGAAATGCAAATAAAAATCACTAATAAGATATCACTTCACACCTATTAGGATGGCTATTAGCAAAAAGTCAAAAGGTAACAAATGTATGAAAGAGTGTGAAGAAAAGAGAACTTAAGTATATTGTTAGTGGAAATAGAGACTGGCACCACCCATTATGGAAAACAATATGGAAATTCCCAAAGAAATTAAAAATAGAACTATTATATGACTCAGCAATCCCTCTTCTAGGCATATACCCAAAGGAAATGAAATCACTATCTTTAGTGACATCTGCATTTTCATGTTCATTATAGCATAATTCACAATTGATATCATATATGCCAAATCTATAACCTCAACCTACTCCCAAGAAAACATCAGACAATTTTAAGATGAAAGAAGCTTAAGAAAAAATCTAACCACTCTTTCTTCTAAAGTATCAAGGTAATGAAAGACAAAGACAAACAGATGAACTGTCACAGACTACACTTGACTAAGGAGATGTGACAACTAAAGACAGTATCCTGACTGGGATCCTGAAACATAAATAACATAAAGTGGAAATACTAGAGATACCTAAATACTCTGTAGTTCAGGCAATAGTATTTATTGAGTAATCTTGAATTCTGAATTTGATCATTGTGCCACGGCTTTGCAAGATGCTTACATTAGGGGATGCTAGATAAAGATATCCAGGAACTTCCTGTACTATCTTTGCAACTCTTTTGTAAGTCTAAAATTATCAAAAACTTAAAATTTTTATTTTTATGAAAAATAAAACAAAATTTCATAACAAAATAAGTTAATAACAATAGTTAATACACCATGTATCATTATCTTCAAAGTAGTTACTCAAAGTACAAGACATAGACCAAAAAGATTTCTACAAAGGAGAAACATAACAAAAAGCTTTCTTTTCAACAAAGATAAACTAGTAGTATAATGAAACAAATTAGCATATATATTAAAAGTCTTTTAAAAGTCCAGCTGAATACAAGAGTTATACTTGGCAACTTGAAATGGAAAGGTCTCAACCCATGGTGGATGAAGCCAAAAATAAAAACAACTTAGCAGTAACTACTTACTACTTACTGCTACTCACCTGTTCAATTTGCACTTGCACCCAGCTGTCCAAAGCGAACTAAAATCTAACAAGAAATTGCCTAGGGTAGCTATCCAGTTGTTGCTCTGAAAAATGACAATTTTAAACTGTAGGCTCTGGTGGTCAAGGGAGAATCAACCTCCAGTTCAACCTCTTTCTCCTCCCAATCCCTGGATCATAGATGTGGCTTATCTCTGGTGGGTGGTTGGGACATTTAAGATGTCTGAGGTGAGA